ATTTAATTACACTGCACGTAATAGCTGAATCTGTAGAACTGATGTAACCAAAATGAAAGCGATCTACGCTGTAGACATCAAGCGGCCCTACTAATAGTAAAAAGTGGTTACAGGCTTGCTTCGGGCAGAGATGTCTCATAGTTTAGTAAAGCAGACAAATTGTGCTTTTGCGCCGGAAGCCTTTTCAAGCACAGGTGGCTATAGTATGGAAAATCTTTGAAAGAGACAGAGAACAAGAATCGGTCCATATATGTGCGATAATACTGTGCGGGACGTATTTAAATTATGTAAATAAAGCCTATAAAGGCTCTCGACATTCTTAAAATAACCCCATAATAATTTTAGTTTCGGCTCGATTCTCACATGTGCCACGTGCGGGAACTTCGGCAACGACAAATTTCGTATTTGTGGCTCGTTGATCAATGTTGTCTCTATTTGACGGTGAAAACTGGTTTCAGCCTATAGCTTCATTGTATACCAGTGTCTACCTGTATTCATGCCGCCATATTGTGGACTGGGTAGAGTGAGAAAAAATATGTTATCCGAGTGGTTTATATTTACGTACAGCGTAATTATGTTTAGCTACGCATAATAATAACAGGTTTTCACCCTGACTGTACCGATGCCCAGAAGCATTTCTCGGTGTAATGACAATATCAAACGGATGAGACGAAATCTCTGTACAATGCAAAATGGTACCTGCGATTATTAAGCAACTGTTAAGAACCGACTTAACCTAAGAAAATGATGAAGTGTCTAATGATGGCGCCAGTCACGTACGGGTCATGTGTCGTTTTTCAGCGTACAATAGTTGGATAGAACGCTGGCCATTTATTCATACACGTAACGGTTACATCAGTTCTACAGATTCAGCTATTACGTGCAGTGTAATTAAATAAGCTTCGATGCACGGTGAGGCGCTCACAGGAACGTCTGTTACTATAAGGCTTAGTTATACATTACACAAATCATATTCGATTACCCTGCACTACTTGATAAGTTTAGGCTTTTGCAAAAAGGCTAGCCAGATCGATGCACTTGGATCACGACTTTAACTTATATTTTTTGGTACATCGTTTTTCTTCAGAAATGCGGACCGTCTTCGCATGGCCGAAATAGTTCCTAATTACGAACAGTACGCACATCGCACTTCCTAGCTATATGACGTCCTCTTAAGGAACAGGCTCGATGACTTCTTGAACAAATGCAGAGATGTCGGCTTTGCTGCCCTTAGAGATGAATGCCGTTTCTAGAAGGGCGGGATATCGTGCCCGCTGTTCTCGATTCTTTTGAAGGCTGTAAGAATAATTTCAAACTTTTGTCAGCAATGCTAAGTGCTTGCTCTTTTTGTTTCGATACACCACTGAGCAAGCTTGAAACATTCGTACCAAGTTAACTGAACGCAAAAACGTTGGGCGAGAATCACACCGGGACAGTTATAATAGTTGGTTAACCGTTCGCCACGAACTTCATTGAAATAGGTTAGGCTTGTTCATCTTACCAAAGTTCTATGAACTCGTGGAAATGTATCGAAAATGTTCCCTTGGGTAACTTAGGTGGAGGGCTTTCCACAACTTGTTTCAACTGTTCGAAGTCATTAGTCGTTCTCGCGTATGGAAACTGTCCTGTCGCTATCTCTAGCTGGAAGCAAAGCATTAACAGGTGGCGGGATAGATGAGCCATATGGTATTTTACAAAGAGCCATAATAATGAATGACTAGGTGCTCAGTCATGTGTTATATTGGAATATACAGAATGGAATAATACAGAAAAATTCTAAATTTGGAAAACGCCAAGAGTTAGCCTGGATACATCACTGACACTTGTTACGCTAAATAATTTTTACTAATATTTTATAAATATATTATATTTAATACTAATATTTACTTAAGTTAAAGTTCCTATTTATATATTATCCTTACTAAATAAAAATAAATAAAACAAATAGTAATATTTGTTTTATTTACACCTAATTTAACTTACCACTATTATTGACTGTTTTTACTATATAAAAGCAATGTTGTAATTTCGACAAAGTTTACAACTTATAATACGCAGTCAGGTATTATATA